GGGGGGGGGTGGGGGGGGGGGATTTCGAGCATTAATCTGTCCGTCTTCAAATTTCGGCATGCGTATGGAAAGACTCCATGTGTTGAGGTTCACTTTTGCAGCTACGCTGAAACTTTAAAACCCACTCTCTAACCCACCAAGCACCTTTTAAGAGCCGCAACTCTGGATTTCGTGGAATCAGATTTATCACAAGTTTGTTGACTCCTGGCAAATTCAATCTGCTTTGCTTGTTCTCTTCTCAGCAGCCGAGACCTTCGGCTGCATTGTCATAACTTATAGTAGGTTGTTGAGGGGGTATCGGCGTGAAATTGTGGTGGCACCTTCTTCGACAAACCTCCAGACCTTATCTGCGACATCAGACCAGCCCGCATTTAAAGAGAACTCCGGATGGATGATAAAGCTTTTCCCGTCTTTGCATAGTGACTATTCTCATATACCTGCCAAATTTCTGGTAGTTCTAAAACACCATGAATTGCTGCGCTTCTTCTTTCTAACCCACCTGCTATTGATTTCACTGTGTCTCTCAGAAGCCAAGGCCGTAATCTAGCAAATCGATAACATGACAAGCTTAGAACAATAAATTCTGCTAACACATCGTGGCTTTCTCTCAATCCGTTCATGCCAAACTTCATGCTCAGTAGCTTTTTCTTTTATCTCAGAAAACTTTGGTCCAACGGAAAAAAGAATTCCTTTCCATTAATAAAGAAGGAAACTAGTTTTTAATAGCGCACTAGGTGAATGATCCAAAGAAAGCTGATCTAAACGAGGTAAGAATGATTGGATCGGAGAAGGAGGTTAGACCTTCCTAAAGAGAAGGAGGAGCTCTCTCTCACTTTCTTCTACTTAAGTTGTGCAATCTTTTCATTACATAATGGAACTAAAGCAAGTGTTTGCTCATTGACTTCATCCACAACAAGTCAATAGGTTTGTATCACTATACTGAATTTTCGGCATGGCATAGAATAGAACATGAATGGGTCTTCCTTTGCCAACCTTCGCTTCTAGAAGGAAGTAAGTAGAACATGCATTGGTCAAGTTGAAGAACCTGCTCCAGAACCACTGCTCCACGTAGCCTATCTTCTTGCATGCCCCCCGTCCTCTATTCTCGGTTCCACAATCATTCGCAGATCCATCTATATGAGGTTCTCGTTCTTTGGCCACTCCTCTTACTTTTTTACCGAGCTTCCCATGTTGGATGTCACTTCCCTCTCTGATCCCACCTCGATTGAGTCGGTTAACTGTAACTATAAGCTATACGCCTCGAACTCATATAGAATCTATAGGTACTTCCTTTCCTTCTTATGCAATCACTATTTACTTCGTCATGATTTCTTTTTTTAAACTTTTTGTCATGATTTTTGTTTGTCTTTGCTAGTGTCCATTAAAAATATTAGTCAGGCGGCAAGTATATGGCTGTTTGACATGAGTCATGGTCAGACATCTATTCTCTGTCCTCTCAATCATAAGTCCATCATCAGTACAGCTAGATTTATGATTAATTTATTGCCCTCACAAGCAAAATAACTGTATTTTACTAAAAACAAATTCATTTAATTTACTTAAGACAAAGGAAATCAACTCTTAAAAGGTAAGGTCTGGTCCTTTTTATTTATCTGTTTCTTCTTTTGTGGGAAAAACTATTTTTTCCCGAGGGAAAATATACATTTCACTAGGAATTGCATGAATTTAATTGTTTAATATATTTAAAAGGCATAATTGGTGATAAATTAGGAAAAAAGAAGAAGTCTTAAATTATTCTTATGAATAATTGTTGATAAATCTAATACTAGTATATATTTACAACAGTTAAGTGCGTTTTAGTAAACTTATCAGTTTTGCAATACCCTACTGTCAAATCAAACACTAAAAATGTTATTAAACCACAACAAATGATATAATCTATCCAAATGTTGTATCCATACTGTACAACTTAATACATTATAAAACGATGGGTAACAACCATCCAAACAAGGGTTGATGTTCTCTCTGCATTTGTCATCTTTTGTATCCTTTGTTCATATTTTGATAATTTTGGTTTAAGATGCATTTTATGGACATTATGGTCTTCCATTGCAGCATCAATACCGTGATGGTCGTTTGGAGGAAGTGGTGCTGCGCCATCTTGGTTCTGAAGATGGAAACACAGTAATTGCTAAAGATATCAGGTCATATATCCTTGAACCTTTAGTTCGTCATGTTTGGTTACATTTTTACATTGTGTTATTCTTTGCTTTGGTTTATGACCACCATTTGATCCGCTCTTCCATATTACTGGTTTCCACAGGCTCTCGGATTTCCTTAGCAACTTGGAAATCAGATGAACAACTCTTTTTGTAATTTCAAGGTATGTTCGAATCACCCTGTTTGCTTTTTCTCTATTATCTTGTGGGCACTTTTGCTTGCGAAGGATTTCTTTGTTGTTGATTCGTGTAATATTTCTTTTTGACTTTTAAAGAAAGACTATAGATCTCCTTTGAAATGGAAAAGCGAGACAGTCATTAAATGGTTTTTGGGGAGTATGCTTTTATGTGTGATTTCACCCACGACCCACCATCTAAAATTCTTCTCATATTTGTTGATGATCTATGCTAATGTTGTTCAATGGCCGACCTTCAAATTGATGTAGAGTTGGTTAAGATCTATATGAACATTTGAAGAGACGAAAGCATTCAATTCACTCTGAGGCAATTAATAGTTAATACTGTTTAAAAAGCATGAGTGCTTTATTACACTTGTAGCTGAGCTATGATTTCATGGTTGAGTGCCTTATTAACTGACTAATTGTAGGGTTGAGTTGAGTGCAACATAATGGTTGTAACACATCGTAGATTCTTTAAACCATCTGTATGATTTTTTGGGATTAGAGCTCTCCATCTGGAACTCGAATCCGACTTAGAACAATTAGCTGATGTTGACTCGGGAGAGCTGGATCCTTGGGCCCCGTCATCAGTTTGTATAAGTAGATGTAGAATTCCGTATTCCATCTTATGCTGCTTTCACTTCTTGCTTTATGCATCTAAAAGAAAAGTGATATGAAATGATCTTTAGTAATTAGAATTAACTCCACTCTGTTGTCTTCCCTATCAAGTCTCCGTTTAGATTTATGAGAATCGTAGGTGAATGAATAATGAGATAACTATCTGTTTATATTCTTGATGCTTCTCTAGAAGGCTAGTCTTACCTGAAGGCATTTTATACTCTTGACATGATTTTTTCCAATTTTTTTTTATCAATCATCATAATTTGTTGGAAATATTTCATGCAGGATTCTTCTGTCTTGATTATAATATTTAGCGAGGAATCCCTAGACCCAGTAATAATATGTCTAGCTAGTAATAATATAAAGATATTATGTTTCAAACAAAAAGATGGGTTCTTCTGCACCCATGGCTAGAAGAAAAAGAAGAAAACTTAGAGTTGTAGGTCTTCAAAGTTCTTTGCTTTATGAAGTTCAATTTGTGCCTTTTACTTTTCTTTCCACCTTTTTCTTGAGTTTAATCTGATTTGGAATGACCTGAATATTTATGTATATTAACTGTGATCTCTTTGTCGAGTGACACACTGATTTTTGATGATGCTGCAGATGATTATAGCATTTACGAAATACTATGCTCTGTAAGCGTGCCAGTGTAGTCCATGCGGCCCATCATCCGAGGCGCCTCTTCCTTTGCTCGGGCCATGATGGCTGAACCTGGCAATTTCCGCCGCTCTTTCCTTCCTATTGTTCTTGGCATTGTACCTGAGTCAGACTGCCAGAGAGGCTGAAATGCCAGTGAAGTGGTTTGAAGGTCATTGAGGAGAAAAAGCAGGAGTTTCAGTAGTAATTTGTTTATTTTACTCCTGACTGCCATGTTAATTATTACTGGAGAACTTGCATTATTTCATTTGAACAAGACATTAGAAAAGGCAGTGACAGGAAGCAGAAAAACTGCTACAGTAATATATTCCGATATGACGGGAAGCCTCAGCTAGCACCAAAAAATGTGAAACCAGTTGGAGACGATTATATGTCCCCAAGAAATGGGGATTGGAAACATGTATATTCTAGAACAGTTTCTGAAATACAGTTTCAGAATTAATAGTTTGAAATCCATCAGTTTTACATCTTTAAGCTCTAGTCACCTGCTGGCACTCCTTTTCGGGGATCTTTAGTTGGAGAACATTTTGATATCTCACTGTCCCCTTGATCTATAACCAGTTTGCAACATTCTCATCCTTTCTCTTATCTATGCTTAATGGATTTCTTTGTAACATGAGGCAGAGAATTGCTAAGACATGGAAAAACTTTACTATTTGTAATGAGCTATCAACTCAACTTCGTTGGGCAAGAATTGATAAAGAAAGTGTAAGGATGTGTTGATGGGATAGAAAATAGAGTTTTAAGTAATATTACGTTTCTGACCATCATATCACATTTACCTATTGTAGCAGTTAAGCTGTCTTATTTTCAAGATTACAAATTTCACATTTTCAGGAGAGCTACGTGTAGCTATCATTACAATAATTTGATGGTGTAAAATATTAAATTTTGGAAATGCCTTCAGTACTCGCTTACCCAACACCCACTTTTTTTTGTTATCTTTTTGACTTGGAATGCAAAAGCTATAAATGGTGTAACTTGGTAATATATTTGTTCATAATAAAAGAATGCTTTTATCTGTCTATAAAAATTGGTTCATTTTCACACTAAAGAAAAAAAATTGGTTCATATTACGCTTGGTGAAGTCTGTTTTGCTTGCGGAAAAAGAGATTTCTGTAGTATGCTTCTCTATTTATTGGCCTGTTCTGGTTGACGAGAAACAATATTAGTGCAAAATGATAAGACAAGGATCATAACTTTATAAATTGTATTTGTATTGCTTATCTTATTATTGATCAATTAATGTCAAGGTAAAAAAGATGTTCTTCCTCAGTTCATGTAATAAAACACTAAATGATGTAGAGACTCACCGATTCCATAGGGCATCTCCAACCCTTGTACCATTTTTTTTACACCAAAATGGTGCAAAGTGACTTCAACCCATTACACTATTTTTTACACCAAAAAAGAATATTCCTACTATATTCTTCTCTCTCTTCTATTTTATATTATTTTTTAATAAAACAAATCCTTTCTTTTTTCTTTCTTACATATGTATCCCATATAATTCATATTCTTTCTTATATAACCATTTGATATGAAATTATTTTATACCTTTAATTTTTAAATAAATATAAAGTATAAGCAAATATTATACATTATACATATTAATGTATAATTCAAATAAAAATGAAATCATTGAATAGGATATAACTANTCAAATAAAAATGAAATCATAGATAAGATATAATTAAATAAATATTACATTATGGTAAAATTTAGTTTAATTTTTACATAAATATTCAACTTATAAGACTAGTATGTTGCTCCCATAACTGCTCTATTAATGCATTACGAAATACAAAATGAGCATCTTTTTTCCTTAATTTTTTTGTGCCGAGCTAAAAATTGTTCAAATCAGTAATTTTCATCTACTACCATTTCTACTATTGGAGTTGGACCTTCCCAAGCATCTTGAATTGGTGCATTAAGATCACCTTCATCCTCGATTATCATGTTGTGCAGTATAATACGTGTAGTTAATATATCATGGAGTGCTTCTTTCCTCCAAAAACGTGACGGCCTTGCAATATTAAATATTTATTTTTAGATAATCAATGAACATTGTGTTATTTATTAACAACATATTATATTTCCGTTTTGCACTTTTTTTTATGGTTATATAATTTTATACAATTATAACTTATAATAAAATTAACTTACAATTTATATAAAAATAAAATATACGAAAATTAATTTATAAAAATTATACACCAAAATTAAAATATAAAATTAATATTATAAAAATATTACATAAAAACTATAATTAATTACAAAATTATAATATGTTAAATTAAAAGTGTTATATAATAAAAGATAATAATAAAATAATGGTGAATAGTAATGGTGTTGATGAATAGTGTTACACCAAATTTGGTATAACACTATTCACACACCAAAATGGTGTAAGAAATGGTGTTGGGTTGTAGCAAAAAATCACCAAATCTTACACTAAAATGGTGTTTGGTGTAAAAATTGGTGTTGGGTTGGAGATGGTCATAATGCTCTCAACTTCTCTCTTACTTTTATCGCACCAACACAGAACTCCAACCCTACAAATCATAGTCAATCATGGCATCACAACCACACTCAACCGACTCCAAAACCCCAGAACCACCAGATAATGCAACTATGCAAATTGACACACCCTCACACGACACAAACCCTGACCACCCCTCTTTCTTGAATAAACTAATAACTAACACACAATTATCTCCAGATCTCAATAATCCTCACCTTCAACTGCATACCATTGATCTAACCGATGAAAGCAATAACACCATCGACCCAGACAACTTTATTCCCATCACTACTGAAGATAAACCAAGACTCTATTCACCATGGTAATTTTCAGTCATCGTGAAGGTCTTTGGGCGTAAAGTGGGCCACCAACTACTACGACAAAAGATCTACGCACAATGGAAGCCTACGGAAGAATTATCCCTACTTGATCTGGGCTCAGATTCCTTTCTACTAAAGTTTCAGAAGAAGGAAAACATGTTGAGAGCCCTCACGACGGGCCTTGTTTCATTCTAAACCATTTTCTCTCCGCCAGAAAATGGGAACCCAAATTCCTAGCCTCCACAACAAAACTCACATACTTAGCCATCTAGGTGCTACTCCCTAAACTCCCAACGGAATTTTACGACCTAGATATACTCCAAAAAGTGGGCAATAAAATAGGTAAATTTTTAAACATCGATACCTGTACCTCGACAATTACACAAGGCCAGTACGCAAGAATTTGTGTCGAGGTGCCTTTAGAAAAACAACTAAAATCACACATTTTCATTGGCACCCAAAAGCAAATTATATTATACGAGGGAATCCATCTCCTCTGTACAGTTTGTGGTAAACTAGGTCATTTACAAAAGATCTGATCCTCCTTAATCCATCCACCATCAACGTCCAACTCCTTGAAAATTACCTCACCTTCTCGTAATGCCACTACCAGTGCACCACAGGACACAAATCTTTCCCAAGAATGGAAGACGGTGCTATTTCCGAGAAAATCCGCGGCCAAATCTCGCGTACACCAACAAACATTCTGTGGCATAGGGATTTCGCCAACTACAGTGAAAGATATGACTCACGCGCCACACGCAGGTACGTCCCCTAACCCTAACTATATAATTAACCAAGCTTCAGGAACTGTAGATAATCCCCTTTATAAAGCTGATAAAAGCTTTTAATCAGTGGGGACCGCGAAACTTTAACCACTCAAATAAATTTGCCAAATCCATCCACCATCAACGTCCAACTCCTTGAAAAATTACCTCACCTTCTCCTAATGCCACTACCAGTGCACCACACGACACAAATCTTTCCCAAGAATGGAAGACGGTGCAATTTCAGTGAAAATCCGCCGCCAAATCTCGCATACACCAACAAACATTCTGTAGCATAGGAATTTCGCCAACTACAGTGAATGATATGACTCACGTGCCACGCGCAGGTACGTCCCCTAACCCTAACTACATAATTAACCAAGCTTCATGAACTGTAGGTAATCCCCTTTATAAAGCTGATAAAGCTTTTAATCGGCGGGGACCGCAAAACTTAAACCACTCAAATAAATTTGCCAAACTGCAATTAGATGACCCACAATCTCCCAACGACACAGAAGCAGAGGCCCAAAACTTAGAAAGCCCACCACTTCCATTACAGTCCACCACCCCACTAGCCCATACTACAATCCTGCCAATATCTGAATCCAAAAGACACCTTGCTAATGACAACACTCACCATGTAGAATCAATTGCTATAAATCACCACTCCCTTACCCCACACACCTCCATGTCAGAAGATCTACACACACCGTCTAGCCTTATTATCCAAAACCAAATCTCCTCTTATTTTCAGAATACCAAGAGTAATCATCACCCTTATAAACCTCTAATATACGAAACTCCTCACAATGACTTAGGAAATTTAGCTCAGTAAGACACTACACCAAACACTCCTCAACCCATATCACATATCACAATACACTCAAGCCCAAACCATTTCTCACCGCCACATCTCAACACTACGGGCTCTACAAATATCAACCAACAATCATCATACTCCACTACAACTCCAAACTCCTACACTGATCCTAATAGAAATATAAACCATGCATCATGCACACACACTCTTCCCTCTAAGATCATATCCCACTCCCCGTCCACCCACAAGCCCTCCTCGTTACCATCATCTCCAGTTCACTCACTCAGTGATGAACCCTAACTCTCGTATCTTCACGGCCCAGACACGCCATGTAGTGATAGAGCCAACCTCATGTTAGAAGTGTCTCCAAGACCATGCTCTCATATTCACCATTGAAGTGAATGGGCAGGAGGTCACGATATTACTCACCAACCCAATGGACCTGGCCCAAATAGTCACCGAGGGGATCTGTCTAGGGACAGACATCTATGGCCAGTACTAATGGTCTATGATGCAAGCACAACACCTAGCACCTTACCAACCACTGCCGAACCCTGCCCCCTACTAGTATCCCACACACTTATACCCTCACATTCTCCAACTTCCATTTTACCCGTCACCAACACTCCTTCCCCAAACGCCCTGGATATAACCATATATACTCCCTTAAATGAACCAACCACCACCAACCTCACCCCTAGGCCCACACGAACTACTACCTCCCTCCCCACCGAACACACCACCCCCTCTAATCAAGAAGAACCAAATGAAAACCTCAAGCATGAAATAATAGCAGCAATAGAGCATTACAGGAACACACGCCCAGAACCACTATGGTTCGCAGGAATCAAAATTTTTGTAGTAAAGGAGGAGTACGCAAAAAAGTTTCATCTAAACTGCTCTCCCAACCTACACACATGCTCCCTATGCATAAGGCCCACCACAAATCGGGCAGTGGGTAAATATACAGTGGTATTGATTCCCTTACTCTATGTACAAGAATGAGGAGCACTAAACACACAACAACCATGCAGGAACAAACCATACAAGAACTAAATAATATGAATATGAATTTCATTGTTTGGAACTGCAGGGGTGCCTAATCGCCCGATTTTCACAGAAACTTTAGGTCCATACTAGACTATCATCGCCCAT